TCCTTCCAGTTTATTCTATTGATTTGATTTTTCAAGTTAGAAAGACTTTTATTTTCAAGATGAAAATTTTCTTGAATGATTTTTAGTAAAGTATGAGAATATTTTAAATCAAAATATCCTAATATACTGTTTAATATACTCTATGTGCTGGAGTATCAACTTCACTCAGTAATTAAGCATTTTGTAACACCGTCCCCAAATGTATTTACTTTTAAGTAAATGATGTAATAAACCTTATGGAATGATTTATGAATTTACGAAGTTGTAAATTTTTGGTATTTCTTTCGCGTGAATAGTAAATTGCACGTGGGACCCACATCGGGAGCGGGGACCACCCACCTTTCCCGAGACCACATATTTTATTCATCTTGGTCAAGATAATATTTATATGGTGGTGGATATTTCATTTGGGTCGTGGAAAGGCCCAGAGTTGACAGATTGGGCAAAATAGGCCCAAATACCGGTACCGACAATTTATCAGAAACAGCCCGAAAATGAATTTCGGAGACTTCTAAATTTAAGTTTTGGAATATATATTATTTCAAAAGGACATTATGGTTGAGAACACATATTATATTTTATTTTACCCGATAAAACAAAATATAAATAAACAGCCCGAAAATACAACTTAAAAGTCCTTAACACTCATATTTTGGTGGAGGACCCTAGGATTTAAAGTCCTTAACACTCGGATTATAAATTGGTGGAGGACCCTAGGACTTAAAGTCCTTAACACTCAGATTATATTTTGGTGGAGGACCCTAGGACTTAAAGTTCTTAACACTCGGATTTAAATTGGTGGAGGAACCTAGGACTTAAAGTCCTTAACACTCGGATTATAAATTGGTGGAGGACCCTAGGACTAAAAGTCCTTAACACTCGGATTATAAATTGGTGGAGGACCCTAGGACTTAAAGTCCTTAACACTCGGATTATAAATTGGTGGAGGACCCCAGGACTAAAAGTCCTTAACACTCGGATTATAAATTGGTGGAGGACCCTAGGACTTAAAGTCCTTAACACTCGGATTATAAAAATACGTAGTAAGATCTAACATTCTAACACTCTAAATAGTTTAAATAGAAATTGCCCAATATAGAAGTAAACATAAACATAATTGCACAAATAGGAGTAAAATTTTAAAATTCCTTCAATAGGAGTAAACGTTACTTTTCTACTCTTAATACCCCTAACCTAATTAATTCTAAAATGTGATTTATTTGATTCTATTAAAAAATAAATGAAAATTTTAAAACATTTTAAAAAATATTCAAATAATAAAATTAAAAAAAATAAAAACATGAAAAACTTTAAAAATAAATAAAAATAGATAAACCACATTTAAATTAAAAATTTAATGTGTTTATAGTATGTATTTTTGGTAAAAAAAATCCCTTTTTTCTTATTTTGTTCCATATGTGTTTGGTCATGTTTTAGAGAATTACCATGGATCCTAAATTTATTATCTACGCGTTTTGAAGTTTACAAAAGGATTTGCGTGTAATTCTTTCCACATTAATTAAAGTGTAATAGTAAACGAAAATATGAGTTATTATTTTGTAATACTTTCTCACACCTTTGTCCCCTTGGTTCTTGATCTTTGTATTTTAATGTTTTAATTAACAAAACATGAAGTGTTTGAGATTCTTCGAATAGAAGAAGCAGCATTACTTGTTCATTATTTCGTCAAAAAAAAACTAAATTTGAAGAAAACTTTGGACAACCTAAAGAAAATAGAAAAGAAAAACATGGGATAGCTAGGAAGCAGCATCTAAATATTCCTACTTTAAGGACTGAGCAAGTGAAACTTCTTCAGTTCAAAATGTGAATAAGTAGTAGCTAGTCAAAAAAAAAAAAAAATAGACAAACAAATGGGTACGATCCTTTTTGAGAAAAATTTATGATTATAATTAAAACTTGCTTCTCAAAATATTACTGATATTTTCTCTCTCTCTAATATGATGGCATATATGGCATCATTGGCATGTCTGCAAAACATCTTTTGTTTCCGGGAAATGATCCTAAATTCCTAAATAGCAATAAATAATCAGTAAATGCACGCATATGATTATTGTGTGTTCATTTTCCCTAAATAAGATTAAAGTATACTCTACCTTCATATTGTACTCTTACCACAACTTAATAAAAAATTCATGTTCTATTTTGTAATAGAAATATAAAAAAATATAAAGTAATCGTAAACACTAAAAACATAAATAAAAAAAATTAAAAAAAAATAAAAAACTTTTTTTTTCATAAAAAAAGTTAAAACAATTCTGATCGGCGAAAAATGTCATTTTGTGAAAAATACCACTTTATCTGAAAAATACTATAAAGATGACATTATTAGTCTTTAAAAATGTCAAATATAATATTGCTCACAAAGTGCCATCAAGAATTAAAGACGACATTACTTATACATGTTTAAATTTATTCAGGTGGTCAGCTCTTGTGGCACTGGAAGGTGGTTGATGTGGCGGCTGAGGCCAGCTTGCACTTTTTTTTTACATTTCATATTCTTCATTTTTATTTTAATCATTTTAAATTTTAAATTTTATTTTTCTATTTTTTCTTTTGTTATAATTAGTTATAAGATATGAATTGTATAAAACCATAGCAAGGTAGGAATTTAAAAATTATACTCCTATTCTTGTAATTAAGTATTATGTGGTGGTATTTTGGAAATTTCTCTTCTTTTTTTTCTTATTTTGTTTCATATGTGTCTGGTCATGGAAAAGCCGTTTGGTAAATAGCGGTTAGGCACTAGTTTTTTTGGACGAAAACGCTGAAATGAAAACGCTGAAATGAAAACACTGCTAATAGAAGATTTTTGGGTTGACATTTTGAAAAATGGAATTAAGTACTAATTTTATGGCCAAACGGCTTAATTACCAAACATCCTCTAACAATATAATCAGCCAATTTATTCCGCTAGTCAAACTCATTGACTGAATCTGCTATTGACAACCTGCTAACATAACCCGTTATCCGTTAACCGCTAACCGCTGAAGGCCAAACATGTCTCATGTGTAAACATATTTTGAGAATTACCATGAATATATCCCAAGTTTATTGTTATATGCGTTTTGAAATTTACAAAATGATTTGCGCGTAATTCTTTCCACACTAAGTACGTGATTTAGTGTAATAGTAAAAGAAGATACTATCGTATGAGTTATTCTTTTGTAATACTTCCTCACACCATTGTCTCCTTGGTTCTTGATATTTGTAATTTAATGTTGGGAAAATTCCCGAAATAGGACTAAAAAAGTTTGAAAATTCCAAAATATGACTGTCATGTTTTTATTCCCAAAATAGGACTAATTACTGCCAAATTTGGAAAATACTGTCATGTTTGAAGTCTGGTACTGCCAAAACATGACAGTAATTAGTCCTATTTTGAAAATAAAAACATGGAAGTCCTATTTTGGAATTTGCAAACTTTTTTAGTCCTATTTCGGGTAATATCTCTTTAATGTTTTATTTAAACAAAGCATGAATTGAAGTGTAGTTTGAGATTCTTTCGAATAGAAAACCTAACATTACTTGCACATTATTTCGTCAAAAAAAAAACTAAATTTGAAGAAACTTTGGACAACCTAAAGAAAATACTTCGTAGAAAAGAAAAACATGGGAAGGGGAGCAGCATCTAAATATTCCTACTCCAAGGACTGAGCAAGTGAAACTTCAGTTCAAAAAGTGAATAAGTAGTGGTCAAAAAATTAGAGTAGACAAACAAATGGGTACGATTCTTTTCAAGGGACATAAATTAGTGCGTTTCGTACCGGTGGAGACAACAAACTAAACGGTAAAAAGGAGTGCCGTGGATTAGGAAACCTGCCTTCAAACCGATTAGGAAACCTGCCTTCAAACCGATCCGCTTCCAAAGTCACATAATTACTTGACTTTGTATTGCAGATTAAATGTGGTACGAAAATTATTTTATACATTAAACACTCTACTTACTTTTACTCATGTACTCTCTCCAACCCTGTTTATTATCTTCCAAATGAGCTTTTACATACCAGCGGACTATGAAAGTAAAACCTGCATGATTGTATGATTGAGATTGTATAAAGAAAATAGAAATGTGTAAGAATGCGAAAGAAATGTCATGAATAACAAATTCTTTATAAAAAAGGAAAATAAGAAGTTATTTTGAGAAGGACGAAAAAAATCGGAAGATAATTCAGGAACAGAAGGAGTATATAAACATCAAGCATTATCGGTTTACACAAATGTGTGTATAAATAATTACTAGGCGTGTTTGGCATTTACCAGATAATGGTTAGCGGATAACGAATTATATTAGGGCTTGTTTGGTAGTTTACACGTTAAATCTTTGCATGCGAAGTGATTAGATGCAAAGGGTAGGGAAACAATCATTTTACATGTAAAATAGATTACATTGTTTGGCTAGATATGTAATTTATTTTTAAATTACACGCAAAGTTGTTGCAGTGCTTCATAAAAGGCATGCAAAGTATTTTACCAACCTCCTCCCACGTAAAATACTTGACATGGTACAGTACGAAATGTTTTAAAAAAGTGTCCTACAATTTACATTAAATAATAAAACCAAACGGTGTAAACATTTTACATCCTTACACTTCGCATGCAAAGAAATTATTTTACATACTACCAAACGCCCCCTTAGCATGTTGTTAATAGAGGATTCAGCCAGTGAATTGGACTAGCGGAATAAGTTGGCGAATTTTTACAGAGTGTTTGATAATTTAGTTGTTTGACAATAAAAATAGTAGAAAACGCCATATATTTCAGAACGCTCACCCAAAACTTTCATATTTGCAATGTTTCTATTTTAACGTTTCCGTCCAACAACGCTAGTGCCGAAGAGCTATTTACCAAATAACGTTTTCATTTATTATAAACGCTAAAAGTGGTCAAATCGTCATTTTTCAGCTGAAACGCCATTTACCAAACATATATACCCGCTAACTTTATCCACACCGGTTCCATGTCTTTATCGAAACGAGTTCCATGTATACCAATACACTTTTCTATAAATATATGGTGATTCTTCCTTTTGGTAGAAGTTCAATTAAGTATTGGTTAATCAATAAAAAAATATAAACGCATGTTTTGATAAGTTCATGCGAAGGACACATGCTCGTCTTAGGTGCATGCTGACACGCTACGATAATACGATGTGCTAATCCTTTCCACTTCCCCCACTCTCTCTCTGTCTTCTTCTCCTCTGCTTCTTGAAGTCAGTGCACATTTCCAGAAAGGAATAACTCTTAAACTTCTCTGTAATGGGACTTCTGGGATTTTGTTCATCAGACGAAAAGGAAAATAAAATGGCGGAAGAAGAAGAGAAAGAGCCTCTCCTGGAAGCTTCTCCCGCCCCACAAGGTGGCTTCAGAACCATGCCCTTCATTGCTGGTAATTCATATTATTGCAGTCATTTTTCATCTTCATGTTTAATCCATCAATTCTTGGGGTTCTTTAGCTTATTTCTTCTTCTCCAGTAATATCCCAGCAGTTATATTGTAATGCCGATCATGGAATTTGTTGAGTTTTATAGCTGTATAATTTGTTGTATTAAATGTTCCCCAATCCATCAAATGCTCTGTTTAAAGATACAAACTAACGTATAAAGTTCTGGACTACATCTACTAATTGTAAGACTAAGAGCCTGTTTGGTAACGTTGAAATCAGCCGAATCAGTTATTTCTGTCGATATTTATGAAGTTTTGGCTGAAGTGACTATATTGATTTATTTTGTTGATTTATGAAAAAATTATATGTAGTATATAAAATATATTTTATTAATAAAATAAAGATAAATTATATTAAAAATTTGTTAAAATGATCCTATACAGTAACTTCAGTCAATATAATCAGAAAAGTAACTACAACCTTACTTTTTCTTATTATTACACAATTCAGAACGAGAAATTATAAGTTGTGTGTTTGGTGAAAAAATTGGCTGATAAGCCGAAAAACATGCTCACCAAACAGGCTCTAAGTTTTGGACGGATTATATAATGAAACTCAAATCTTAAGTTTCACATATATCTCAAATTTTCACTGTTAATTAATTGGGAAATGGGCGGCAGAGATCATCTTGTTTTCTTATATTCATGTTAATGGAGTTCTGTTTGTTTTTTTCCAAATCTAGATAATAGAGGCAGGTAGTAGGTATTAGTTACTATTCATTTGTTAATTGGATCGTTTACTAGATTTAGGGAGCAGTAAAAGTTAAGTAATGACATTTAAGGCTATTCTACCCTCTCTTTATGGGGGGCAAGGTAGTCAAATCACACTCAAATTGCCTTTAGTGGGTGCACTTTACGTGCTTGCGGGGTAAAGTTCACATTTACTCATTGGAACACCAAATTCTTAATAACGAATCTTCAAGGTTACGTTAAGTTACACCTATGTTGACATTTACTTTTAGGTCACTTACTTTCGTATACACCCTATGTCTCCATGTAGCCCTACATCATTGATCCAAAAAAAGAATTTCCCATTCCACAGCCCCCATATCCCTGACCCGACAGAATGATGAGAGAGTAAGTCACGGTGACTCAGTCATGGTGATAGACCCATACACCCGTGCACACAAGAGGTTCAACCTTATTTCAGGTTCTTTGACCTAGTCGTTGTGGGGGATTCGAACTTTGGTCCATTAATCCAAATCTCCCACCACTCGACCAACTTATCTACCATTGATCCAGCCTTACATCAAGCATTACGTTTAGGGGAGGGTTGTGGGAAAATCCACCCCCAATTACTCCTTTGGTAAAAAAGAAAAGAGGTTGATGGGGTGGCTCACTTTGTTGCCCATAAGGCATGTCTTCCCCTCATGAGAAGTTGTTTTACCTGCACAAACTAGTTCAACTAAGGAAATGGTGTTAAAACTTAAAAGTGATAGGAAGTTTATGTATTGAAAGGAGCAGTCTGGATGCAAGTGATGTACGTTCCATTGGATTTGTCTCTTGAAGCCAACACCAATAAGCCGTGATCCAACACCAATAAGCCATGATTGAACGTGGACTCCAAAATTATGAGAGCGCAACACCGCGCAACACCGCGCAACACCGGGACCTATATCATAAAACCAAATGAAAAGGAGCAGAATGCAACATGTGGAATTTGACTAGTAGGGCCCAACACGCAGGAGAGAAAAGACAAGAGAGAAGAGAGAACCAATGACATCATGTATTGTGTTAGCATGACATCACACCCATTTTTAAAAAATCAATAATTTGTTAAATTATTTATATTCCCTCGGTATCCAAATTTGGCAATACCTCTTGTTATCGAAGGTCGTATCCAAATTCTAAACCGGTGGGTGTAGCTCAACTGGTAGCGATTGGTATCACAAAGGTTAGGTCCCGGGTTCGAATCCCGGCAACTGCGATAAGAGGTTACTATGCTAAAAATGCATAGGGCCTCTACAAGTACTAGAGACGGAGCCCCACTCTCTAATCTCTATCTGTCATATTGTGACTATAGTCCAATTTACAGACTCCCATTGTGCCGTCCGGTCGATGTTGGAGGTCGTTTGGATTGGTGTCATGCATTTTTTTTTAGTATCCAAATTCTAAAGCCCAAAAAATACATTTGGACACCCACAATTCTACCTGCATTAAAATGCCGCGTAGAAAATAGGTCTGACGGATTCAAACTAGACAAACTCCTCGCGAAGCCACAAATTTCATCTCCGGTAGGGTGACCCGACCATCTTGGACTTCAGCGCAAGGTTGTTAAAATCGCGATTTAAATCGTAGAATCTTGGACTTCAGCGCAAAGTTGTTAAAATCGCGATTTAAATCGTAGAATCGTACGATTTTACGATCCACCTAACCGATTTGAATCGTTCACAAAATCGAAATTTTAAAAAATCGTAAAAAAAATCGTTTTGAAATCGCTAAAATCGTTCAAATTCACGATTGTATACGATTTCCCGATTTTAAAATTTGACTTCGCTCGCAGCAAACACAGCCGAGTGTCTCTGGCCGGTCAGGCAACTTAATTGTTGATCCTCCGTGCTTTATATAGTAAGGGAGGGGGGAATTCGCTATGCTCATCCGGTGTGGGAAACTTTGATTTTAGAAGAATAAAGAAGCTTTTTTGGAAAAATCAAAACCAGTCAAAACGATGGTTTTCGAACCAACCTCCAACACTCTTGAATAAAAATGTGCTCATTCCTTAACCAATCCACCATAAGCAACTTTATGTACTAACGTAACTATTGCCATGCTTTTATTTAAAAAAACTATTGCCATACTTATTCAATGCTCTTCAAAACAAACATAATTACACTTATATAGTCTTGACAAACATATACGGAGTATTAGATGATTTGCTGGTCTGGTCTGATCTGGTCTGGTCTGGACTGGTAAGGTCTGGTTTCTTTGTATTTTTATAAAATTATAACAATCCAAGCCTGGTTTGGTCTGAACTGGTCTGGTCTGGTCTGGGACAAATTACAGTCCAAGTAAAAACATCCTTATTGTGACACTTGATTAGAACATCATTATTATTTTCGTAAAAATTTTGTTCTTTGAGTATATAACATTACTTTGTTTTATTAACATTATTTTGTTTGGTAACATTATTTCGTTAGTAATTATTTTGGATGACATCATAGTATAACTTAAACTTATAACGGTTTCACTTAATTATTTTGAATTTCCTTTAATCCTTTGATTTAATATTTTTAATAATTTTATATACTTATTTTGTAAAATCTTACGATTTACGATTCGATTTTAAGATTCGATTTTTAAATCCTTGTTCGGATTCGATCCAAAAATACGATTTTAACAACCTTGCTTTAGCGTCATCTCCTGTGTTCTGCGACCCAGCCGTCTTGGACTCCGGCGTCATCTGCTGCGTTCGGCGACCCGGCCGTCTTCAGACCATCTTCCCAATTTGTGTGCATCTTGAAGCCTAATCCATACAGATAAAGTAGGATTAAAAGGAAAGCGTTTACTCAGCTGCAGCGACATTGAACTACATAAGCAGTGCAGTACAATCTGAAGTAATTTGAAAATGTGGGTATCCGATACTCTCATATCGGTTTTGGGTTATTCCCAAAGCACACTTGTGAATTATGTAATTGGCTTAGCTAACAAAGCTTCCTCTCCTAACGAGCTTTATAGCTTGCATCGTGAAGTGGGAGTACCCCATCAACCTATGAGTCAAAGGAATTCGCACAAGATTTTTTTTCTAGAGTTGAGCACAAGGCTGCAGGACAAAATCTATATCAACATAAAGAAAGTGAGGCAGCTATGTTTGCAAGGAAGCAAAAGACCTACACAATAACAGAGGATGGTGATGATGCTGATGTTAGTCTTCGGAAACTGGGAGGAAGGGTCATGGAAAGAGATTTAGAAGGAGGGCGGTTTCTGAAGCTGATGAAGATCAAGAAAAAATAAGAGAAGTAGAAGAGGAAAGACAAGTTAGGAGAAGAACTTACTATGCCAATGGTCAGGATGATGGTCATAGTGGTTCATCTGAGTCAGAAGAGGAAAGACTACGTGATAAAAAACAGAGGGAAGAGTTGGAGAGACATATCAGAGAAAGAGATGCTGCATCAACAAGAAAGTTGACTGAGAAAAAGTTATCCAGAAAGGAGCAGGAAGAGGCAATCAGGAGGTCTAAAGCTTTGGAGCAAGATGATATTGGAACTTTGAGGAAAGTCTCAAGGCAAGAGTATCTTAAAAGAAGAGAGCAAAAGAAATTAGATGAACTCAGAGATGAGATAGAAGACGAGCATTACTTATTTGATGGGATGAAGCTAACTAAAGCAGAATATAGGGAGATGAGGTGAAAGAGAGAGTTATATGATCTAATCAAGAAGTGGACCGAGGAGGAGGATGGCAAAAATGAGTATAGGATTCCCGATGCATATGATCTTGAAGGCGGTGTAAATCAAGAGCAAAGGATTGATTTTGCGCTGCAACGCTACAGGGATCCTGATGCTAATGCTAAGATGAACAATTTTTTATGACCAAAAAGCTTGGGAGGATCACCAAATAGGCAAAGCTACACTCAAATTTGGTTGAATTTCCTGTGACACTCTACCTGTGACACTAAATTTGATGTGACTAGAACAAGTGCATGCTACATTGTCAGCATTGTTTTATGATACTACAATGTCGTAAATCACTGACACTCTACCTGTGACATTAAATTTGATGTGGTAATTTTTGACCTTTTGTGACATTTACCATGTGTTAGTGAAACTTTATTTGACACTAATTTTGTGCAACTATAAGCTGTTTTTTAGTAGTGTTACTTATGTGTATCTCACCATTATCTAAGATCTAAAGATGTTATCACTCAGATTGAAATTCATGGTATAGTTTGATTTGACTTGGTTTGTTTACATCTAGTTTGTTTAAATCTGTCCTGAAATGTTTTGTATATGTGTATTTTTTTTGCTTTGTGGTTTGTAATGAAATAAGTACAAATGAAAACATCATTATTTTGACTTGATTTTATTTGTTCTAGTCAGTGTTCTAATAGGCTGCAAAATGCGGGGCCTAGGCGTGCCTAAGCGTGAGGCGGCGGGAAAATGCCCTGCATTTTAGACAGATGTGACAAAGGTGGTCAACTGAAGAGTTGACCATCAAAGGCATGAAAAGGCGGAAGTTTTTTAGATGATTTTTTTTGCAAAGAAAAATTGAATAGATTAAAAAATCACTTTCACAAACATGGTTATATATGCAATCTCATACGGAGTAATAAAAAGCAACAATATATCATTTTATATTTGCTTTTTTATACATTTAAAAATTGTATATATTGATATAGTAAAAATTAGACTCAATCATGTATATTATTTTTTAACATTTATTATTTTTTCTTCATATATCACTATAAATTGCTACTTAGTAATTATCAATAGAAATCTAAAACACTTTTTCTCGCCTAGGCTTCCAAGGCTTGGGACTTGGCCTTGTCGTCTTGCTACGCCTCACACCGTTTAGAACACTGATTCTAGTATGTTCTTGTTTGGTCAAGTTTATTTAAGTTTGGTCTCGACTTGTCAAGTCTAATATGAGATTAAGAACCTATCTTCGAGCTATTAAAATTGAATATTATACATTACTTTCGAAACATGCTCCTGAATAAAAAGTGCACTTAGTTTTTATAAAGGTCTAATCTTAATAATTAGAAGAAGGCCTTCTACAAGTGAAGAAGTCATGAGTTAAATATATTGTACGCTACATGGAGCTAGTTTTATTACCTTGTCCACTGGAATTATATATTTATCTTGCTACATTGTGGTAATGGACAGGAAATCTGGCATTGATGGGGATGGCGAATTGTGGGTTAACTCCCAACATGATACTTTATCTGATGAGGGAGTACCGAATGGATATGGCTACTGGCTCGAATGTGCTCTATTGGTGGAATGCAGCTTCGAATATCACTCCTGTTGTTGCAGCTTTAATGGCAGATTCTTTTGTGGGTCGGTTTCAGATGATTAGCATCGGATCTGTTATTAACCTTTTGGTAAGCCCTTCCCCATTCTCCATCCAATGTTTGGATTTTCTTTACAGTTCCACCACTTGAAATGGTGACCTTGTTCCACATGATATACCCTTAGTCCCTTATATTTGTAGACAACTTTTCATTTAATTTGTAGTGTTCATTTATCATACCTTTCAATCTTCTCTAGGATATGTTTTGGCCTTTCTGTCAATTTACTACTTCATTTTATACACAAAGGGCCTAAGAGATAAATGAGACATTGAATACTAATTACAGTATTAGTATTAATATATGGACATTGGACCCCTCCTCTTAGCGGGTTAAACTTTAAGATAAAACCCCAAGTACGCAAGAAGACTCTATTGATGAGTAAAATAAAATGATGAGTTAATTATACTATGGATTGAACTAGTTTATAAATAGGATTTTATCTTTTAGTGTGGTTTGGCACAAGTGTATTGCTAATTTGCTACATGGTTCAATTGGGTACATGGTCTAAAAGGCCCACTTCTTATTAAATATAGTTTACTTTGTTTATTTCACTGGCGTATTACATTCTTGCATATCCCTACAAACGTCCCCACATTACACATGCGTTTTTTCATAAACCTTCACAAACTATTTTCTTAGGCTTTCCAATTCTCTTACCCCATTATACTGACCCCAATCAAATAATGAACTTTATCAAGACTAAATACGCAGCATATATAACCAATGAGGCAATACCACCATATGGTATGTAGTTATTGACAAATAACAATAGAGGCAAATTTATTGTGATAAGCATGCTAACTATTATTTCGTACTGTGTAAGACAGAGGTACTGATTCTGGTTTTTATTTCTCGAAAGTGGATAGTTTATGGAGTAGAAATAAGATTTTTTTTAATAAGGGGATAAAACTCAAATCTGTTTGAAGTAATTCATGTGTTTTTTGGCAGGGAATACTTATGTTTTGGCTAACAACTATTCTACCACAAGCAAGGCCGCCTCCCTGCGCTGAAGCTAACACCATTTGCCCTTCTGCATCAGTTCTCCAACTTCTGCTTTTATACCTTTCTTTTATCCTTATATCCATTGGATCAGGGGGAGTAAAATCTTCTTCCTTGGCATTTGGAGTTGATCAGTTAAAGAATATCCAAAAGAATGGGAGAGCAATGGATAGCTACTTTGGCTGTTATTATGCTGTTAACATGGTATCCGTTCTCATTTCCATGACTTGTTTGGTTTATATCCAAGAGAACATGGGATGGGAAATTGGTTTTGGAATCCTTGCCTTGCTTATGCTATTTGCTACAATTTTCATCCTCTTGGGTTCCCCATTCTATGTGAGGTCGAAGCCCAAAGGAAGCTTAATCACGGGTTTAGTTCAAGTGATTGTAGCTTTCTATAGAAAGAGGAATCTCGTGATACCATCTGATGATGAAGATTTTATGGCATACCATCATCAAGGTACCATGATATGCTCCCCAAGTGAAACACTGAGGTAATTAAAGTCATTTCTTACCGGCCTTTAAGCAAGTATCTGATCTTCTTTCATTTAAGTAGCTTGTTAGAACCTGTTTGAGTGGAGGTGGATACAGTTTAATTGATTGAATGAGCTTATATGTTGATATTATGAATTGAGTGGTAGAATAAGTTGAGTGGCTCGAAATATTTGAAGAATATTACGTATAATATATTTTAGTTTTTTACTCCCTCCGTCCCAAATTATAAGATACTTTTCGGTTTACGATGTTTGACCGACAATAAAGCAAACAGATCCCTGTGTGCACTCAAATTAATTTTAGAAAAAAAGAATTACATATTCAGAAACTAAATTAAAACCGCTACAAAACCTGCAAAAAATAATTCAAATTTCATAAAATTTTGATATATAAAGTAAGAGATTAAGAGTGATTTATGTTGACCAAGTGAATAGTGAAGACATCTTATAAAATGGGACAGAGGGAGTAGTAATTTAAAGAAAGTGTCATCAAAGTGATATTTTTCATATCTACTTGGCAATCAAATAAGGCATGCACTGCTATTTTAACCACCAGTAAAAGTTCAGGAGTTGTAGGCAAGAAAATCTAGTTGTTAGTTTGGACCTAAATTTTCTGATACGAACTGGTCTGATCTGTATAATCTGGCAATATTTGAGTTTGTCCCACAGGCCCCACTAAGCAAAACCTGTGTACACAGGTTTTTGAATAAGGCATGCATTATAGAAGATCCCCAACAAGACATAAAGTCAGACGGGAAAGCATCAGATCCATGGAGTCTTTGTACAGTAGAACAAGTAGAGGAGCTTAAAGCATGCCTTAAGGTAATCCCAATATGGGCCACTGGAGTTCTAATGAACATTAATGTCAACCAAGGCACCTTTTCCACGCTTCAAGCGACAACCATGAACCGCCACATAGGATCATCATCTACAAGCTTTCAGATCCCCACTGGCTCGTTAGGTATCTTCTCATACGTCTCCATCATAACGTGGCTCGTGTTGGACGACAGAATCATTAGACGACATCTCCATTTCAGCCCGAAGGCGAGAATGGGGTCGGGAATCTTCCTCTCTTTCCTGTGCGTTGTGGCATCAGCCTTGGTGGAGGCTTTTCGGCGGAACCTCGCGATAAAGGAGGGGTTTTCTGAAACCCCCGGGGGAATTGTGGATATGTCTATTCTGTGGATCATACCCCAGTCGTTTCTCGGGGGGGTTGCAGAAGGATTGAATGCAGTTGCACAGAACAGGTTCTACATTTCAGAGTTCCCTCAAAGCATGTGGAGCATAGCGTCCAACTTTCTCGGGCTAGGAATGGCGGTGGCAAGTATGCTGGCGAGCTGTCTGATGAACCTCGTTAATGAGGTTACTAAAGGTTGGGAAGGTGGGAGCTGGATATCGAGCAACATAAACAAGGGTCACTATGACTACTACAATTGGGTGCTTGCTGGATTGAGTGTGGTCAATCTTTTGCTTTTCTTCTTCTGCAGCCGTGCATATGGCCCCTGCCGGGAAGAGAGGAAGGTAAAGGGCGACATTGAAGTAGAGTCTTAGTGACAATCTTAGAGTGTTCATATACCACCGACCACCGTATAGCACAACTTTTCTTTTTTATTGTTGTATTGCATCATTTTGGTACCCTGATAGATATAGAATGAAACAAATTAAGGACTCTGTACTTCGTAGTTATTTGGTAAAATTTCATCGTCTCTAACTCCTCCTGGCAGTTCATATTGTTGTAAATTCTGGCAAACCTTCTTTGGGCCCAAACGAGAGGTTATGATGGGGTCTCAAAGGGGTGGTTTCTTCAAAGTTTTTCCTGTTGTTCTTGCGGAGTTGGTTCCCATCGAGGAGGGGGTTCCTCTGTAGCCGTCCAAAGATCTATCTGTGTGTTGCATGACACTTATACGTATTAAATTCTTTCTAATGAAAGAAAATCTCGTGTGTTGCATGACACTAATATGTATTAAATTTTTTCTAATGAAAGAAAATTGTGACTATAGAGACTCATTTGTAAATGAATGCTATTTCCCTCAATAAAATATTTTGGAAGAAATAGGCTTAAATTGATAACACATCATTCAAATAGCAGGTAATCCGGCAAAAAAAATCTTGACAACCGCCGTCACGCGAACCAGACTCAGAATTAATCATCTCATTAGAAGCAATGCAACTCCCTGATCCATTAATAGGCACAATTGAGCCAAAGACGGTAACCTCAATCCTTTCATCACCCACATCCAAATTCAGAGTCTTACAAATAGGAAAAACAAAAACAAAGCACATCATATATAAAAAAAATTGTCACGGTCGAAAAAATAAAACAGATAAAAACTCGTTGCTGTTTGAGCTTGCCAAACTGCACGAACAACCAACAACTCTTCCCCGTTTTTTGTTCCGTCAAGAGCCATGTTATCCTCCTCAAGCTTGTCTGCTCTCTGGGGATCCGAAATCCTTCTTCGCTTTTGTTCCCCCGATGCTTCCTCCTTTGTTTCAAGTCCCCCGCCTTTAGTTGTACTCTGTGCCAATTTTGACATAGACTCTTTCCCCCCTTCTCTCATCCTGCCATTAATTTTTTATCCCCCATAAACCCGCGGTGTCTGCCAGAGCTCGATGAACCCTCTACCAGCCATTTACTACCTCCTGTAGGGCTAGTCTTTACCCCACTCCCCGCCCTTAGCTGAACCCCAAACTTTCTTTCCAGAACAAGATCTTCTTCATAGGTTAATAGACAAAATTTATCTGAATACCCAATTAAGACACAAATGAAACAGAAATTGGGCAGCTTTTCATACTTGAAATCTACCCAATAACTATTTCCTTCTTTCTTCAGGTTGGTACCTTTTTTCAAAGGCTTATCCACATTCATACACACCCTGATTCTCATATAAGACTCCCACTTCCCACTATTCTTATTATCATCATATTTAATAAATTTTCCAATAAAATTTCCAACCCATCTGGCAGTACCTAGATTAACTAGGCTATAGGGAACATTATGAACTTGAACCCAAAAATCAGCCTCATCTACCTCTATATAAAAAGAGGTGGAAAAATTGACGGGTTTCCCGCCCAAAAATCTGGGCTAATTAACGGGTCGGGTTATGCAGAGCAAATGATTAAAGCGAGGTCATCTAACGGATGTCATTCAATTGATAGGGATCATTCATCGGTGTGATTGAAATTTGTGCAGATAAGATAGAATTAACTTTAGCCACATATTTCTTACTTTAAATGGAAATGGTCAACCTTTTTGTAACGGCCAAGAAAGGAAATTTGGTCAATCATTTTGCAACGGAGGGAGTACTTCTTAGAACTGTGCATACGTGGAGCCGCACAAAAGAATAGATTAATTAACTATGGGAAAAGTGTCAAATAGGACCCCCTACTAATACGAAAAAGTCAATTAAGACCTTGAACTATAAAACACTCAATTAAACTCACGAACTATAAAAAACGAGGCAAAACAGCCATTTTAGCATGTAATTAACCGGTTCCCAGTAAACCTTTACACGTGGCGACAGCCGACAGGTGGACACAAATGGCAACACATGGCGACACGTGTGCGACACGTGGACTAATGGAACCGGGAACCGGTTAATTACATGCTAAAAAGGTTGTTTTGCCTCATTTTTTATAGTTCATGGGTTTAATTGGGTGTTTTTTTAGTTCGGGAGCTTAATTGACTTTTTTGTATTAGTAAGGGGACCTATTTGACACTTTTCCCATTAATTATCTATAGAAAGTTGTAGGGAGTACGAAGTATTAGATATGGCTATCCATTCTTTTTAAACAAGACAATATCCGAAATTTTTTTTTTGTCTTGGGCAGTCCGTAGTCTTGAAAATTGACGGGACATTCATCAGCTTTAAATGTTTTTTCAAGACAGTGTTTATCGCTGTGCATGACTTTATCCCAAAAAAACTTCCAACTTTGACTTACACACTCATTAAGAAAGTGAAATAAAGTAAAAAATGTATTGTTATGATTGAGTAAGAAAAATATAAATAAATGTTAGTCATGGAAAAATTTCTAAAAAAGAAAGTGAAAACAAATTATTTGGAATATTTCAAAATGGTAAGTGAGAAGAGTTTTATGGAACATGAGTATTACGTAGAAATCAATTTTGTTAACCCTTCAAAAGAGGGTGAACATCACCCCCACCATATTCTATACACAATTAGGGCCTGTTTGTTAACACAAAAATTGGCTGATTTGGCTAATTCTGCTGAAATTTATGAAATTCTAGCTGACGTGGTTGCATTGGCTGATTCTGCTGATTTAAGAAAACATTATTTTTAAAATACATTTTATTAATAACATAAAGAAAAAAAAAATTCTTGAGTATGTAAAAATAGATCAAACGATCAACTGCAGTAACTTGAGTCAATACAGCCAGAAAAGTATAGTAACTTCAACCTTATTTTTTCTATTTATTAAACAATTCAGCGACGAAAGCAAAAGTTACGTGTTTGGTGAAAAAGTTGACTGATAAGCCGAAAAACAGTGTTGCCAAATGGCCTCTTGATATGTTTATGAATTCTTAACTTTTTTTTTTTAAATTATTTTTTATAAAATTTTTAACTACAAATATAAAAGTTTCAACAATTTTAAAAATAATTAATTGATATGCCAAATCACAACCAAATGACAACCAAATGCTAGGGGTGAAATAATAGGATTCTTATTAATATGGGTGCCTTTAAGAGACTAACAAAATTAACAATATACTACTCCCTCCGTTCTTTTTTATTAGTCCTCTTAGGGTTTGACACGAGTTTTAATAATACAGTAGTAGGGTAAGTATAGAGTGTGTAGGGTAACTGATAAAGTAGGAAAGATGGTATATTAAAAAGAGTAAAGTGATGATAAAGTAGGAAAGAGAGTGTATTAAGAAGAGTAAAGTGGTAGTAAAGTAGGAAAGAGAAAGTAATTTGTAAAAAGTAAGTGGGGTAAAAGTAATAAAAGTGGGAGTATTTTTTCAAAAACTTTCCTTAAAGGGAAAGAGGGACAAATAAAAAAATACGTCCCAAAAAGGAAAGAAGGACTAATAAAAAAGAACGGAGGGAGTATGTTTAAATGATCTTTGTACTCACTCTTATACTCACTTTTGTATTCACCTATATTTATGAAGTTTCTTTTTTATTTGTAAATCCTGACTCACAGACAATATTTTGCAAAAATATTAGAATGAAAAATGATCTTTGTACTCACTCTTATACTCACTTTTGTATCCACCTATATTTATGAAGTTTCTTTTTTGTCTGTGAATCCTGTCTCACAGACAATATTTTGCAAAAATATTAGAATGAAAAATGATCTTTGTACTCACTCTTATACTCACTTTTGTACCCACCTATATTTATGAAGTTTCTTTTTTGTCTGTGAATCCTGGCTCACAGACAATATTTTGCAAAAACAAAATATCGTCTGTGATCCAGGTTCACAAACAAAAAAAAACTTCACAAACATGCTAGGTATAAAGTGGGTATAAAAGTGGGTACATCATGCATTGAAACTATTCAAAGTTTAACCGTTTTTTTTAATTTAGAATAGAGAGAACGGTGGATAAAGCGAAAAGATAAAATTTAGTGACTTGACTTTATGTGTTTTTTACAGGAAAAATGCTTCTATATTGAAAATAAACCAAATAATTAAATTTGATTAGAAGATTTTCATGCTGATTTGGGAATGATGCATGTAATATCGTTTAAATAAAAAAGTGTTGGTGTGAGAAATGAGAATCAATCAAGATAACATAAATTTCCGGCATCTAATAATCCAAAAGGAGGAATGAAATCCACTCCCACGCCAGAAATCTCCGGCACCGCCCCTCGGTAAAACCGATGGCGGACGAACCAAGACTAAGGGTTATCGGCAGATAACCCTAGAGAGAGAAGCAATCGCTCACGTGCAATACAGCTCATTAATAACTTTTTCATACAATTCCCTCAAAAAATATTAAATACCACTAAATGTACAAAATGTTACTAAATCACCTAACATTTTACAGGGGCGGATCCAGAAAATCTAGTTATTGGGGGCACCATATAATTACTAAATAAAAGAGTAAATAATCAGTTCGGTCCACGAAGTTACATAAAAAAAGTCAAATAAGTTCTTATATAGGAGATTCTATCCGGCCGTCGCCATATATAACAAAATAGGATTAAAACATACGGAACATATAAAGTTCTAAATTAGGATAGATATGTTCTCTTAGTAAAAGATGACTTATTTAGTACTGTTAACAGATATGTTCTCTTCGCATAATTTTTATTTTTTGGGGAAGGAAATAATAATATTCTTATTTGAGAAAATTGTTAGAAAAAATATCACTAATATTACTTCTAAAAAAATGATGGACAAAAATGTGACTTTATGTAACTTTTAGAGACTATAATTGGTTCAAATTACTATAATGTAGTGCTTGTGATGTAAATTTTGAACACACCTATAGTAACTAATAGTTACCAAATCACATTTTGTCCATAACTTTTTTATGAGTAATATTTTCGAAAAACCTCATCAATTTGTTATATTTTAATACTATTTTGAGTATTCATTACATACAAAAATATTATAAAGTTATTATTAACTAAGAAGGAAGTAAATATATAAACTAAATATTTGGTTAGTCTATATATTTACTTAAAGTCTAACCTAACAACTTTTCTAATTGTTTTTTCTTCAACTAGGTTTACACATATCCCTAAATACGTAAATAAAAAAAGTCCTAAAGACGTACGATTAAAAATTTTAATCTAAGTAAGCTCAATTTTATGCTTAAATGAATCATGACATTGTACTTACTAATTAATTTTAGTCATATCTCTATAAATATATTTTATTTCAAAAAAAATTATGAGAAATTAAACCTATAATTAACACCCCTTATTATGAGACTAAAGGCAGAAAATCAAGTAATTTTAAATCTTAGTTAGTCGACTGGATAATTGACAAATCCAATTGTTAAGTACGTGTATTTTTGGAAAACTGTTTCGATAGTAACTAATCTTGCTTAACTGTACTGCTCAACCATTCTTTTTTAGGTTTTAGAAATTAGAATAACATAAGGTTTAAATGATAGTGGACTTTTACAAAAATAAGTTTCATGGCACATGGTCGTCTCTTTGCAACTTTTGAATCATATGGTTTGATGGGGGCACCCAAATTTTTTGTTGGGGGCACTATTAATCATTGACAAAAAATTAAGGAAAAATAAACTAGAAAGCATAATGTTATTGGGGGCAAGTGATCCCATTGTTTAAAGGGTGCATCCGCCCCTGACATTTTATTTGATGGTGA